CAACCGTCACACCTCACACTCCCGTATTTTAGGGGTGAATCCAGAAAACATAAATGGAAGGAATTCATTTCAGCAATGATTAATGGGCAAAAGTTGACTAGGGGCTCAGTAGTAGAATTTTGATAAATGGCGAAAACGATAAATTTTGATAAATGAGGGAACCAAAATTTATTAACTCCCCCACTATGAACATCGAAAAAACTATTTCGATAAAAACACAGGATTTTCATCCATGAGGTTCTGTTTTTACTACCACTTCTGTTTTACTTGCATGTTTACCAAGATAAAAAGAGAACGACGAGAAAAATAGAACAGATAATTATGCAAAGCTTGAAAGCCTTTGCTGAACTAAAGCATGCTTGACCGTTCAAAGTTTCACGTTCATAGTTATATATTAAGATACCTTCTAAAGATCAAAACAAAACAAAAAAAACCTGGGAGACTCGCCCGTGCGCGAAAAAGAAAGGATTAAATGGGTGCGCACGGTAACAAGAGGTCTGCATTGTGCAGAATATATGTATTCCGGGGTATAACGTCAATGTATTTATTAAGTGCATACTACTGAGAAGAATGGAAGGTTCTGGTCTGGTTCCAGCCTGTTCAGTGAAAGGGTATAGGTTACCGCACAAGCATGTGGTCATTATCCAACAAATATTTTTTCTGCATGTTCACAAAGCTTCAACGGCATTACACCACAAGAAAACACCCGCACAAGGAATGAGGCCGCTAGTCGAATAAGTCTACTACTTGACAATAGACAACAGCAGCTTCTCGAATGAGGTCTCACCGTGTCAACACTTGGTATGAAGAAGATGAAAACGTGCATACTGCACTCGAGAACCAAACCTTCACTAACCCTGGCCATGTTTGTCACAATATTCCTCTTGAGCTCAAGGAAGGTGTTTTGAGCAGCACTTTGACTAGGTCCAGGGAGAGATCCGTAATATTTTAGCGCCGAAAGAACCATATAATTAACGTTGATCCAAATGTAGCTAAAACATAATTGTCAGCAAGAACCTCACTCAGACTAAAAAATAAATAAATAGGAAACAAAATAGCACATCAAGAGTAAAACACTCCGCCACTCACCCTCTCCAATAGGGCGGATCGTGTTCAGTGTTTCTAGCATCATAATATGGAGACGTACGGGAAATAGACCGCAACCCGTATTCAGTCCACATTAACTTAAACAGAAAGAATGGGGTATCTGCCTTTCACAATTTGAGTACGATTACAAACCTCAGGGTCTACAAGACTGGAGAGAGTGTGCATAAGAGCGTCTGATTCAGGAGGTAAAAGTCGAAGCATGAGAGGGTAGAGACTGTTATACCCAAATACATCTTCCACAAAACCCAACTTTGGCTTCATGAACTACTGATCTGAAAAGGTAGAAAAGGTAGCAAACACATACATCTATGACCTAATCATGCGGAACTGACATCAAAATGTAATATGCTAATAGTTCAGTGGCTATATAACTGAAAACTCATTCGCTACCAGAATTTCGTACCTTTCAACCAAATACTGTTCAGGAGATCCTGGAATGGGCTTCCTTATAAGAAGCAGTTTGTCACTGTGTCGACCATAATCGAAGAATGCCTAAGCAAAGACATAGTAAAAGCTCAAAGCACCAAATCGAGTCCCCAGAAAAAAATAGCGCACAAGAGGCCGAGCTATAGAACGCATTGCACTCGAGACACGAAATTTAGCTCTGACAATCTTGAGTTAGTTTTCTAGTGTTTTGCTCTAACTTTTTCTCCACCATCTAGAACGCATGAATTATCATTCCTGCTATTTTATTAGGCATATAGACTACCCACTATAGCCTATGAAACACATCAATTACGGAAGGCAGAAGATGCTAGAAAGGCAAAACTTCCATTCGAACTTAACGGTGAAAAATTTGTAGATCACACAGCAAGTAATTCAGATTACCTTTTTACTGTCACTCCAATGGAGGCGGATTAGTTCGCTGTAGTCACCCAGAGCAGATGCTTGTTCCGCGTATTTATTCTTATTTTTTTCCTCCTCGAAGAGGTGAGCTAATCTGTTCATAACTCTACTTCCAAGGGCCATCCAACAACGAAGGTCGAGATGATATTCCTGCAGTGTAGCAAAGGGTGACTAATGGTAAAGTATAATATAAGACGATATCATTACTGAATGATAATAGAAGGGCACGAAGAAGAAATCGCAGTCTTACCTCCTCAGACGGATGGCTAGCTCTTGGGTAATCATCCAAACCCGAAGCAAGCGTTTTTGGATTTAGTTCTTTAACCGTAGTCGAGTTTCGTCCGCGCCACCTGTAAGTTGCCCCATTATAAAGAATTGAAACGTTCAAATTATTCCACTAATACTGATTCCTGGGAGATGAGTAATCCCCTTAGCAGCAGATTGGATGCGTAGCCGAACCAGGTCTATGAACGAGTACGAACGCGAAACTAAAAATTGTCGCTCGCGCCAATTTTCCCTTGAATCCTGCTAGATAGAAGAAAAGCCGACTGGTGATCGAAATGTACGGTGAAGACAATGAAAGTACAAAAAATTTTAAAATAAAAAAAATGATATTAAAAAATTATTTAACACAAATACTAGAGGGAACACTGAAAGTGAAAGCTCTCAAACTCCATGCAATATAGATACTTCCCAGTGACGTCAGAAGAAACTTTCAACTTCTTTGACAGCTACTGCACCACTTGGACTGCTACGAATCAGTGAACGGCCTACATCGAAAATGACTTCGTGCAACGACGATCAAAAGAACGAAACTACATCCTATTTGCGTGGAAGTGTCAAACGATCATGTGATTAAAAAGGCATTGTGCGCTGCTCGTATACGCTAAGCGACTTTCATAACACCAACGTAAAATTGGCAAAACCAACCCGTCAGGGGTTCGGACTCAACATTAGTACATCCAGAAATCAAGTTTGAAATTTATGTTGATTAGAGCTTACCTTGCACCTCCACTCAAACACCTTCACTAGAAATTTTTATCCCTGATTGCGCCAATTCATGAATGAAAGATGGTGACGTTGCTGTGGCCAGCAATTTCAATGATACAATAACACTCTAGTGAGCTTATGTCGATCCTAGCTTAGCCATGGCTGGAAAAATCACTAGCATGGGAATGCTGTGTGGTATGCTGTAATACGAAAATGACTCCGGGCAGCGTGCGTCTGACAATGGACTAGTCCAATACCACCCTATGGGAAGTTAGCAGGGCGCAAAGGATCCCGGTAACGACCGGTCATCTTTCAAAGTCCCATGTCTTGGAATAAGCAGCCAATCTATGAATGGCGAATGCACCACCGAACGCGTGACAGCCGTGAACAAAATCACTGCTTGTACAGTTACAATTTTTTAACTGATATTCATATGCATGCGATCGAGAACACCATGTTTAAAAGCAAAACGGTGGGAAGCCTAGTGTTCCCACCTCTGGTACTATTTATATTTTTTTTTTTTTTTCAAAAAGAAAGGGGGGGAAAAATATGTTTTTATTTTTTGGTGTATCTATCATGGAAAAAGGCAACAAAGGGAGCTGACATCTGTTTCATCTCTTCACGGTGCAGTTGGCCTCAATCCGTCCCTCGAAAAATTAAGATAACCAGAAAAGGAATGATGTAGCGACTTCACCTAAATGTTCCCTTCTTCTTTCCAGCCTGACTTCTACGCAGCCACCGATACCAAGCTTCCAGTCTTGGATACACACCGGAGAGCACATTGCCATGTTTTTTGAGCAGCTTAAAGATAGAGAAAATAAACCCCTTTTAAACTTGAATTTGAGGCTTATTTCCCAAAACAATGGATTGATTAGATGAAATCTGGAGGACTTCATGAAACCAACAAATTCAAATTGTATAGCGGAAACACAATACCTTTTCATCGTTCAACATCTGGTCAACAATATAGAAGATGCTGGGTGGATTCGCAACATTGGTCCTTTGCACGATGAATTCCGATGGAACCTGGAGGCGGAAATCAGATAAAAACAACAGAAAAAGTGAACTATCCCTAAGTATAGTTTCAGTTAAAATTCGAAATTTCTCCAGTGAACGCATTCGCTGTCGACACCTCAGGTTATGCTGAACAAGATTCTGCTAATATAATTCACACAAAGAGCCTGCAATTTCGCAGACGATACTACACTGCCGTAAAATCAAACTTCGTTTACATAGCACCAACATAACGCACACTGTCAATCAGAGTTTGAAGAATATATCCTCTCTTACTGAAGGATAACCGCCCATAAATATTTTCGCCATTTTCCCTACCATGTATAAACCGACAACTCAGTATTACCTGAAGAACCATCTGGAGTGCGGGCCAAGTTTAGAATAGGTCGAGTATGGGACAGCATATACGGAGCAGACATTAGTTAAGCGGAACCCCATCCAAAATAGGCGGGCATGCACCGAAACGGGTCGTGCCGACGGCAAGAAATTCAAATCTATTCCAGCTTGGAGACAGTAGAAAATGGACAGAGGTATGCACTGTGTTAGCAGGTCACAAAAGTTAGACCTAACTGCGGTGGTCGGAGCGCTCTCCTAATAGGCGGTGCTTTATAAAAAATCATAACTCGAATAAGGAAGCCCACAGGGCAGAAAAAACTATTGTAGATGAACAAGAAGTGAACGAAGGCCCACCTACAGTGAACGGAGGGCAAAGTTTTCTACAAAACTTCAAAATTCCGTTCTGACAGTTGACTACGAGATCTTGTAATTGAGCTCCGAGACCGCGCAAAGAGGGTGAAATAGAGATGGCGAGTTGAGAGATGACGTTCGCTGCCGGTAAATGGAGCGCAAGCAGAAAAGGGAAAACTTAAATCCGAAATTTTTAAGCAAAACATT